ATTTTAAGTTTTGTTTGGTTATCGATAACGACATTTTTTGACAACCTTCGATATATGAAATTCATTGATCCACAATTACGAATTATCGTATGATCAACTAATAAAATGAGCCTATAGCAAACATGAGCACTCTTTAATTTCAAACTGAAATCGACAATATTACTTGGACGGATAGAGGATCACGAAAAATAATCCTCCTACTTATTCTTCTACTCCCCCTCTTCTTCTTCTGCAACGTCTAAATGGCAAGGGATAGAAACTAAAATCGGGGCCATAAACCTCACCTGAAACGATTTTAAACTGCCCAGCTTCCCCCTATCCAGCTCTACTTCAGCCTCTAGACTTGGGAAAATAAACTTCGGGTACGATGGATTGGATTTTGAGACAAAAAAATTTTACTCTCCAATGGACAAGTCACTTTACTCCCCTTTACTCTAAACGAAGGTGTGGTAAATTAACCCCCCCCTTAAGAGTAGGTGGTGTTAAACATTTTTTTCATAATTCGAGTACTTTGAGATATATATTCCCTTTTTTATACATTTTCTGGGATATTAATGATTATTTTAAATATAGTTTATGACAGGGTACAAGCTGATGTCGAATATAGTTAAGTTCTTATAGACACAAATAGTAAACAATAGTCTACAAATAATACACAATAGTACACAACAGGGGGGCTTATAACATATGCGCGTTATATCAACAGGTTAGAGCGCAACACATCCGCGCATATCAGTCCGTTTTACAATAATAAAATGATATTTAAATTTAAAGTACACTGAAAACTGAAAAATTGAATAATTCAAATATATTTCGCTTAATAACAAAAGTAATACACGGTATAAGTATTGTTTTAAAATTATATATTTATATAAATACCACAATTATTTGAAAAACATGAATTGATCAATTATTTGTACAATGTAAATCTGACTTTGGGATTGTCACTCGTTCGAACCGATACAATAACAAAACTGAACAAAACAATATGGTTATGGTTGCTGAATAAAACGTGGTAAGTACTTTTACTTTTATTTAATTTTAGTTTTAGTTAAACATGTTAAATTTAAAATTAAGCATAGATATTTTGATGTTTTAACATGTGTTTAGCAGGTTCTGTTCGTAATAAAATCTAATTGTAATAGCGTTGTTTGTATAAAGGTAAATAGTACAATTTACTGTCCAATGTATGCTGTAAATTTTAAAAACACATTTTTTTTATTTCCTTCCGATATTAAGCAAGGTACTAAATGATGCCGCATAAACTTCATCATTCCACTTGCGAAAAACCATTTATAGGTTACAAGACTGTAAATTGGCTTTATCTTTGGTACCCTTGAAAGCTTGTTACGTGAACATTTTACCTTGGGAATATTTTACCCTAAAAAGATAAAGATGTCTTCGAAAAAAAATGAATTTATTCGTAATAAGATAAATCACAATATTAATAATAATAGTTTTCAGTCATCTGTGTTTCGAAACCCTAAAAATAATAAATATAAATAACAATATCAATAAGATATTTAGGAACATAAAACTTACCAATAGATTCAATCACACCCTTATTTCTCGCTTTCATCGTCTGCATATATTTTACTAAGTGTAGTTTTAATTCTAAAAACAATACAATATATAAATCGACATTAGATACCTCACGATGAGTAGAATATTATTCCAACGAAATACTAAATTATAAATGTTTACCCTATTTAAATAATTTAGAGAAATTTAGTTATTTAGTTAGGTAGTTTAGGGTAGATTTTCTTTAAAATCTTTATTATGATTTTATATATGACTTGTTTATTTCTATCATGTCAAAGTCATGTTTATGTCAATTTTCTTCTTTTTCAAATACTTCAAATTAATTAAAATAATTACATTAAGGTACAACAATCAGGATAATTTAAAATATCTTATCTGGACATGAACTGACCACTTTTTATAAATCTTTTTTTTATACTCTCATATCTGACCTTTTGAATAAAATGGCTTCTTGCTGAACCACCTGGGTTTAAGTTTTCGAATTTTCGGATTTATTTAGCCAGTATTTTCAACCCTCATCTTAATTCTTACAAGTAATGTTTTATTTAAGTTGAATCACATATTGTGGATTTTATTGCTTGTAAAAGAAAGGCCCCTCACATCTGTGGTAAGTTCAACCTGTCCATGCTTTCCTAAAAAAATCAAGTATTAATAATGTTGTTTCCTTTTAGGCCTTTAAGTACTTATTTACGTACTTATTTACGTTTTATGCATTCATTTATTCATTGAATATTTATTTGAACAAGATTATTTGAATCGAGAGATATGACCGATAGATATTGAAGGTTCGGTATCTACCACCGATTTATCTGCAGCACCCATATAATTCATTGGCACCTTCTGGAGACATCACCAACCATTACCAAGTCCTGAGTTATCAGTCGATAGTAAGACTTCAAATCCCTCGGCCCTCAAGTAAGGACTACCTTTCTTATTTTAATGTATCTGAACGTAGCAGCTCTCATTACCATCTGTACACTAGAGTAAAGTACAATATATACCTATAGTTGATAAGATTTAAAATAATAATTAAAACTCACCTTTTTCTGTGCACCTTATAGTACTACAAGGGGGAACGTAAATCACCTTTATATTATTAACAGTATAGAGAACATAATAAACATTTGTAGGGGATAATAACTCCATGGTAAATTTTGTGCATCAACTAAAAGATAAAAATATTAAATCAGATCCCAGGACAACATACTTTCATTAACCACCCCACTCTCCGAATAATAAATTTAATAGAGCTAGCTTGGGAAAATAGTAATCTTTGTCACCCCTTACAGTCCTGGGGAGACTAGGAGCGTGGCAAGCTAAATTAACAGTAAAGAGTAGTACTAAAGTAATATTGTTATCATACCGTCAAACAAATTACCAGTGAAAAGAAAGTTACATTCGATTAAAATTTCATCCAATGAAATATAATTATTACCTAAAAAACAATAATTAGATCTTGGATTTTTAAATTAAACCAGTGAATGGTTAGCTCCAAGGAAGAAAAAACTCTATTTTATAATTAGAAAACAGCAAAGTAAAATTTGCCAATCAAAGAAGGACCTCAAAGCTTGATCCCGCAGACATCTGTTTTTTTAAAAGTACTAAAAGTACTACATCTAACTAAAAAAGGTGGAGGGACTACCATTATTAAAAAATATAATAATGAAAGTATAAAACTGTCTAAAACTGTCTAAAAGAATAAAAGAAAGAAGAGATTCAAAATGATATGAAATTAAAATACTACTTTGAATTTTTTCTGTTTCAGATTATATGGATGATTCTCCTTCATGTGTTTTGTTACCTATCCAAGTTTACAGAAAGTTTTAGTTGCTTTATTAAAATATTGTTTATTTAGAAAATTTATTATAAATTAGTTTTAATGATATAATAGATAATACAATTATTTTATATTACATTATTTTACCCTTCCTAAAATTATGGGTTATAAAATTTTACATTTTGATTGGTATTTTGTTACATCTTGTCTGTGTTGTAAAAAATGCCAATAAAAATGCAAAATTTTAGTTATACTAATTAAAGTAGAGCTACAAACAAAATCCCGCTAATTTTTAAATAAAATAATATATGCAGGTATCTATATTACCGACTGAGAAATAATTGGACAAATCCCTCCCATTTGGCGCTGATAGCAAACATGTTGCCACATTTATACAAAGAAACGGCAACTCTTAATAATTATCCTTCCTCCATGGTACACAATACTCACAATAGTACACAATAATATCAAAGAAAAATAGAAAATATCATAGTACTTATCACAGTAAAGTTCGGCGACCGTTTCTCTCCTGAAAACAACTACTCCCTTGACTTTTTCTGCATTGTATCAAAAGGAAAAGAACAGAGATAGAAAATTATTTTCAATACTCTCGCTTTGATTTTTCTTTTTAAGGAGAAAGTCATACTTGGACCAATTGAGTCCTTATTTGGACTCACCAGCAAGCATTAGAGAATCTCCACTTCAGTCTCTAATAAAATCTGCTTTACTTGTATGTATTAAAGCTGGTTGAGAAAAAGTAGGTAGAAAACGAGTTATACATAGTGACACCATCTACACTTAGGAAGCCAAATCAAATCTCAAAGTTCCCTAATTTCTTCTAATAATTTTCCGTTTTGGCTATTATTCCGCCACTCTAAATTAGAACCGAAATGACACCCAAAAAAAGATCAATTATAATGCTCTAGAAATATTTTTGTGGATCACTCCTTATAAATAACATTAAATTGGGAAATAACGTTAAAACGCCATTTTTAGTTAATAAAAATGAACCTAAAAGTATTATTTTACTGTTTACGTTTATCCGAGGTTTATCCATTTTTGCTAAATTGAATAAAATTAGGTAAAAAATTGGAAATGTATGATGAAAACAGAATCACAACTTTTTCTTGAAAACCAATTAAACTTAAGGTTTGGTTTTAAGTATTAAAATAGGCATTACCATAAAATAAAAATTCAGTACATTTTAATATACCTACATATACAGAATAACATATAAGCATAATCGTTAACTTAAACATAGTGAAGATAAATAAAATTCAACTTATTCCTTAAATGTTCATTTAAAAAGGTTTTGTCCTAAATTCAAATTTTCGAGTTTTATAATAATAATTGTGTGATTGTACAGCAATTTCGGAATCCGTTACCACTTGTGTTAGTTACATTTTCAACTATTTTTTAAATCTTGTGCTTATGATTAAATTTTCTGTATAAACGATTTTGTTTTAAAATCCTTAAATTTATATTTACGTTAATGTCTATGTTAATGCTTAAAACTAAATCAAGCTGATTAAATGCACCTTCACTTAAAACTAATATTTATTTTGTAAAATTCAATAGTTCCGTATATTTCTCCTGTTAAACTTTCATATGCAGTTTTTTATAAAATAAACTAGTAGATATATTATTTAACTGATACATTGTAGGACTTACGTAAACATAGGCACGAAACTGAAACATGTGAAATAGAACTGGTGGCAAACGATTTAAGACATACATTAATGGAGTTGAAAGAATGGGCAGAACCGAAATCGCCTGAAAAAAGACTTATAAATATCTTGGATGGCGTTTATATTTACAAAGATCCTTATGGGGTTGTTCTAATTATAGGAGCTTGGAATTATCCTATTTTGCTATCATTGGGACCAGTTGTAGGTAAGTTCTCGTTCTTATGGCGATTACTAATAATTTTGTTACTGTTTGCCATATATGTTTATTATCATTATCTAGCAGTGTTTGAAAACCGAAGGGACAATGCAACCTTTGGTATCAATCATTTTGAACAATATACAAGAAAAAAAACTTAGGGAGTATAAAATATTACATATTTTTTTTAAACTATAATAAGGGAATAAAAAATAATGTGATTTATTGAATTATAACATGTAACTAGAAATTATAATGTATATTTCAATTCTATTAGAACCATTTCAATAATTATTTTCATTAATTGAATCGTGACAAAATAAAAATGTGACCTATTTGGAAGGTATTTAAAATTAATTTGATTAATTATATACCAAGACATTGGTCAAAATACCCTTTATTCTTAATGGCAAAACTTATGAAAGTTCGTAAAATATGTATAAGACATAAATCGATAATGTCCTTAAATTTAGGCTTTCAGCAGTTCAGAATATTCTAACAGCTATTCCGATAAAATTATTAAAAACTATTATTTTTTATTAAAATACTCATTCGAGATTGAAGTCATATTTGAAACAATAAAATAAAATCTAAAGAGCATACACTTTGTGGTAGTTCTGATTGTTTCTTGAGTTATTAATGATGATGGCTTCAATATTATTCCAAGTTTTCGACCTCAAGTGCCGAATGCAACATTGCCAAATATCCAAAAAAGTCCCTGAAACCACGAAAGTTTCTACCTTTCTTCAATTTTTGGTGACTTTAACCCTGATTAACTATATTTTCTATAATTTGATGTAGAACCGTCTCTGTAGACCCAATAGTTTCCACTATACAGGTTTTAAAATTTTATACATTTTTTCGAACTCGGAAATTTTTCCAACTCTGTAGACCTATTTTTCATATTTTTCCGTACTATAAACCATTCTTTGTATCACATTATTAAAGCCTTGTATTAACGTTTCTTGGCCATAAACTCCTTTTCTTTCATATTTGTCCAAAATGGCAGCGGGAGGGGTTGCTATAGGGTAAAGTCGGGTAGATGGCCAACATTTTGCATAGGAGGAGTCTGTAAATTTTTGGTGAGGGTTAGGCTCCATACAATATTTTTTTGTCATTGCTTACCTATCATCCGAGCATACTAGTAAATAAATACATTGAGAACACTTTTATTTTTTATCTATTATTATTTATAAAAATCAGTTGTATATGGCCATCTATCCCGATTCGGTGGGGTCAGTTGGCCAATGCAATAAGGGATAGATGGCCACAATATAAAAACGCGAATAAAACATAAAAATATGAAAATAACACACTACTTATTAAAACAAAATATAAAAAATATCCTTAACAACTATCTTGCTTCTTTTTAAACGCAGTTTTACCACAATTTTGGCAAGTGTTTAAATAGGAAGAGCAATTTTCATGAAACCACTTCTGGCAAATTATGCACTGCAACCAATCTTCTTTTTTTTGTGTTGTTATAACTTTCTCCGCATTCTACACATTCAGTTTCATCCACCTCAGAAATGGCATCACTCTCCTCTTCATATTGAACTTCTATATTCTCCTCCTCATCAGAACTTGGTGAAGGCGAACGTTTCTTCTTTTGGCCAATTGTTAGTTTTCGAATTTTAGTTTTCGGGGTATCCTTCTTAGTCTGTTTAGATTGTTTTGTGAACTTGTTTTTTACAGTGGCTATATAGTCAGAAAAAGTTAATAGGGTAGCAACTGTCTTTGCTTGTTTTTTTGCAGAAACAACTAACTTGGGTGTGGGATTAATCTGATCTAAAAGCTTTCGAGGCGTCAAATCTGGAACAGATGTCCCTTCCGCTAGAGTTACACATCGAGTTTCTGTACCAGCATGGCTACAGGATGGCATCGACTCATCCATTATGATGACTGGGTGTCTAAGTTCATGTGTTGCTTCAGCGTTCGATTGTTGAGTGTTCGTTACTTGTGTCTATGTGAGGGTTCTATGGTCTTCCCTTGCTTCGCTGTTTACTATTCGATCAGCAACTGTGTAAACATGATCGGGTATGGAATCGGGGTTCCACGGAAATATGCCAGTGGCTCTGAAGCCGGATATAGCATTTCCAGCGGTCGCGGACTTGCTCCAGCTTTACGTTAAGAGTTGACCAAACTGGAGTATCCCCAGTTTCCTTCCGGGGTGACTCTGCATCCACTCTCTGTAGGATTGATAGTAGAAGGACTTAAGCGACTTGAAAAAAGCTCTGTCGAGCGGCTGCAAATAATGGATAGTGTGCGGAGGTAGGCAAAATAAAGCGACATTGTTTGCTTCAGCGGTTTCTAAAAGTTCAACACAAGAATAGTGAGAAGCATACCCGTCAAGAATTAATAATGCCTTCCCTTCTCCTTTACGTGGCAAGAAGTGGTTTTTAAACCAATTTAAAAAAAATCGTTGCAGTAACGTAGGCTGATTTTTGAAACATTACAATATGTGAACTAGGCGGCATTGAATCAGTCCACTCAGTTTTTAAATTCTTGTCTCACCCTTTTCCCCTGATGTCACTGTGACAACATCCTTTGCTTCTTTTTGGGCTAAGACATGGCCAGGACGATTATTTAATTGAAGGCCTGTTTCGTCGACATTATAAATGCATCTAGGTTTGTCGAGAAGCTCATTTTCTTCCAGAATTTCTTGCAGTAAAGTGAAATAATTTCCCACATCTAAACGGTTCATGCCTTTACCTCGCCCTAGAGATACACCCTCAGCCTTGCGAATAGACAGGTCTGGATTTCTTCTTAAAAAAGACCTGAACCAATCGGAGCCGGCACATCCTTTTTCTTTGTTGAACTTGTGATTGATTCTTAGACTTTCCGCAAAATTGTAGACAAGCTTTCGAACATCTGGAACTTTCATAGAAAAACCGTATTTTTGTGCCTTCTTAATATGTTGCACCAATTTATTTTCATTTGCCTCCCTCAATATACTATTCGGCACATTTTACCTGTTGTCGACACATTTTTTTAAATTTCCTTTCAAGAGTTTTCCTAGGAATGCCATAATTTTTTGAAGCGCCGTTCACAGAAGAATAGTTTCTGACCGCGTCCATTGCTCGCCGCAAATTTTCTTCAGTATAGTTTCCACGATTCGAGTTCCTTCTTTGATACTCCGTTGGCATGTTTTCGCAGCAGAATGGAAATGATGCCAAACTGTAAAGAAAGAGACGTAAAAATATATGGCCATCTATCCCTACTATTGGTAGACGTAAAAATATGTGGATATCTGCTTCTACTATTGGTTGATCATCTCTCCCAAATGCTAGGGAGAGATGACCAACGTGACGAACAAAACCCACCTCACATGTTTAACTGTTGTTTGAGGTTAGAATCATCTAATGAACATTGTACTCACCTAATATGTTGAAATCGGCACTAAATTTCCTTACAAACATTCAAAGTAGAAGGTGACACAAAACTAATATAAAATTTTATAAGGACGTGATATTATTTTTAACGTGTCCTCGACTTAAACGACAACACACTGGATGTGCTTATGGATAATCATTTATTGTCGGAGAGAACAGGCAGCACCATCTCACGACCCGTTAGTCAAGTTTTAGCCGTTGGCCATCTCTCCCGACTGGCCATCTCACCCGACTTTACCTTAATTGTCAAAAACAATCTCGAATTTGCAAACTTAAATATTTCACAGCATGTAGTACAGGCAATAATTAAATGTCACAATATCATCTTCATAGGAGTGTACAAACCCCCGGCAAGGAAAATTTCAAACGCACACATAAATGCGCTAATGTCTAAAGGTAACAGAGTTTTTTTTGGCTGGGGACTAGAATTGCAAACATCCCGATTGGGACCCGAACTGTATCCACGCAAACCCTGCAGGTAATTTGTTGAGAGACTTCGCCGAAGACAACGAGCTTATAATTCACTACACGGACGAACCTACATGCACACCCTTCAACGGGGGCACCCCAAGTACACTAGACATTGCAGTCACTTAAAACTTAACTGACGTACAAAACATAAGAACAATAACTACACTAAACTCAGATCACAATCCAGTGTACTTGGAAATACGTACGAAAATAAACAGAAGACAAAAACAGTATTACGACTACAAGACAACAAACTGGAACAAATACAGACACAAAATCGAACAAATACTAACAACAAACAATACACAACTTTTAGAACAAATAACACGAGAAATCATAACAGTCGTACAAAAAGCTAGAGATGACTCGACATAAATTACACCTACTACACCACACAAATGGACATCGCTAAACACATTAACAAACAGATAAACGAACATCGCAACATCTGGCAAAAAACCCTGTCAGAAATCAACCCGAAGGACAACTCACTGTGGGGGGTTGTGAAAAGGTACAAAAAAACCCCTTCACAACTTCCTACTTTGAAACTAGGACAAAATACACTCACAACAGACAACGAAAAAGCTCAAGCCTTCGGCGAGCACTTTTAAACAAATTTCCGAAATGACCAAATAAACAACGACCATCAGAATCAAATAGAGCAAATAGTAAATGATTTGGGGGCAACGGATCCAGTTCATGTACCACACTCTTTCTACACCTCCCCTAAGGAGATGGGAGAAACAATCAAGTTCTTCAAAAATAGGAAAGCTCCGGGCCCGGATGACATAAGCAACATCTTAATTAAAAATCTACCTAAAAAGGGGGTTGTACAACTACACTACATAGTAAATGCAATTTTCAGGCTACAACATTATCCTAGTTGCCTGAAAGTTGCAAATATTATACCCATTCTTCAAGCTGGTAAAAATCCCAACAGAATAGACAGTTATAGACCCATCTCGCTGTTAAACACAATTTTAAAAATAGTAGACAAAATAATATTAAATAGACTAAACAAAATAGAAGAACAACTACAAATTATCCCACAGGAACAGTACTGGTTCAGAAGTGGCCACAGCATCGTTGCACAAATCATAAGAATCATACACAGTGCCAAAGAGGCGACAAATTTCAACAAACAAACGGTGCTCGTGGCGCTTGATAGCGAAAAAGCTTTTGACTCCGTCTGGACCTGTGGTTTAATTCATAAAATGCTTGTGAATGATTTTCCCGTTTACGTTGTAAAAATAATACATTCATACATAACTGACAGACGCTTCAACATCAAAATAAACAGTACAATCACAGGACCATACTCTGCGCTGGCGGGAGTACCTCAGGGCTCAGTTTTGTCGCCTCACTTGTACTCGATTATGACCCATGATATCCCGATGGGTCGTAATGAAGTACAAAAGGCACTATCCGCCGATGACATCTGTCTCTTTAAAAGCAATCATTCTGCTGAGAGTGCAACAAGAACCCTGGACATCCATATAAACAGGAGACTAATACCCTATCTAACTAAGAACAAAATTAAAATCAACCCCACTAAAACGGAAAGTATGCTTATCACGAAAAGAAGATCTAGGGGCATTCATATTCCCCTATAAATCGGAGATCAAAACGTACAAACAGGAGACAGAATGAAATACCTGGGTTTTTAGTTAGATAGGGGATTAATATTTGATCTTCATATTAAAGACAGGGTGGCGAAAAATCACATTGCAATTAAGACACTCTACCCTATACTAAATAGGAGGAGCAGAATCGTCAAACAAACTATTAATCTTCAAGTCAATCCTAAGACCAATCCTGACATATGGATGTCCGGTGTTCTGATCCATGGCAAACACGCATTTTTCGAAACTACAAGTAGCCCAAAACAGATGTCTTCGGCTAGCTCTAGGATACGACCGCTATGCCAGAATAGTCGACATGCACAGACAGACGGAGACTTCACTCATAAAAGACTACATACTAGATGCAGCTGAAAAATTCTACAAGCGGTGCCTTCCCGATAATGTGAGAGATGATATCTTTAGCATATATCGGGGGACAACGTGCGTAGAAAACACGGCTGCATCCACGCAAAACTCGACATCTACCACCGCAGACAACAACATCCTCCATAACGCTCTCAAACATACTAAATAATATCTCACACCGACTAGATATTTACACAAACTAGTCGGACGGCGGACTGATCGGTGGATCGGCCATCGAGGCAACAAACGCGAAATTTCATCCAATGCAGTACACCTAGAGCTTTGTCTGGGTACAGTCGCTATCAAAAGCTTAGAGTTTTTTTGGTAGAGTAATTTGTCAGTTGTCAAATAAATATTTAACCTTTTCCTATTAAGTCCATATTGCCAGTGTAAGTAAAAACCCAACAAGCAAGGGGTATCGGTAGATGCCCAAGCCCGACAGGGCACCCAAAACGCCAAATCCTGGCTTCGAAACCACATATACAAAGCATTTGAAAAGAAGATGCCGGCCTAATCTGGAGGAAATCAACAGAATCGCGAAAATTAATAACACTAACGCATTTAAAGCTAAGCTGAAGATTAATCCAATATCAAACGTGAGTACTGCACACATACCACTAACCTACCATAACACCGGGATCAGCTGTTCCGAACAGGGGGGACCCCTGTTCGAAAAAACTTCAGAACGACCTTCAAACGAACTTGAAAACTTAGAAAATCTATCAAACACAACTGATAATACCATCATAGGTCAGGAAATCGCACTCACTCTGGAGGAAACGCAAAGCACAATTAAAGACGGTGGCGAAAAAAGCGAAGAGCAATACTATAGCTCGGTGGAAAGCAGTGACGGGGAGAACCTCGAAATATCTGATGTAGATATGGAAGAGCCCGATACAAATCAAGATACGGATAAAGATCCGTATAGCGCAAAAACGGACGAAAACTCCCAGACCTCAGAGCAGGAATTTAGCCTAACAAACGCTAATGCAAGAAACCAAAATGTGGACAACTTCAACTCCGAATATGTCTCTATCCCGTCCGCAGAAGGACTGAAAATCACCATCCTAAATAGCGACATACCACAAAAGCTAAGGCAAAATATCATGAGATTCGACTATACAAGTGGAGCAGAGCACTCGGGAGACGAAAATCTACCCCCAACATTAAATCAGACAGAGGTGGAAACAATCGTACACCCACTCCCGGAACAACCCGAAAAACTCACACTCCCTGACAAGAGAATCACCCTACCTCAGGCACTAACACCAAAGCCTTCTACGTCAAAAGTACATGTAACAGAGGAGAAAACCGAAAAACTCGCACTCCCTGACAATAGAACCACCCTACCTCAGGCACTAACATCAAAGCCTACTTCATCAAAAGCACCTGCAACAGAGGAGGAAAGAACCTCCCCTAACAGCACCTTTACCTTCCAAAGGAGCAAGAGAAGTCGAAGAGACAATTTAAACAGCATAGACCAAGACAAAATTGAATCCCTACCAGCTGAAAGCATGGATATCCAAGAAAATACCCCTCCGAAAATAAGTTCTAACCTAAGAAGGGTGTTCAAGCAGAAGGTAACAGCTACACTGCCAAACATAACGTTAAAAAACAGGTACCATGTCTTAACAGATGAATCGGAAGAGGAAGAAAGTGATGATTCCATCGAAAAAAGAAAGCAGAATGCTAGGAAAGAAAGAAGAGACAGTAAAAAGGGTGGCACAGAAACCACCAATTCATCTAATAAAAAAGAAGAGGTACAGGCAAAAAGGAAGAATAATATGCCCCCAATAGTACTAGAAGGAGTCCCAGAGGACCACAAAGGACTAACTGAAGCTCTTAAAGACATTATAAAAGGCAAATTTAATGTCAAATACACAAACACGTCAACCATTGTATTCACGGAAGACAGAATAGATTACGACAACGTTTTAGCAAATGTCAAAAAAGAAGAGATGGCATACCATACATATACCAGCAAAAGCGACAAGTCACATGCCTTCGTCCTCAGAGGACTGGGAGACGGTACTAAAATAGAGGACCTCGAAGAGGACCTGATGGAGACATATGAAATTAAAATAAGAGCAGCCTACCGTATGACTACCAAGAGCAGACCCCTATTCCTGGTAGTAACAGACCCTTCCATCACACTTGACTACTTAAATCGCAATGTTAGAGTGGTACTGTACACAAGAATAACCTGGGAGCTTAGGAGATCAACTAAGCAGATAATACAGTGCCACAACTGCCAGGCATGGGGGCATGCCACATCAAATTGCGGTAGGCCGTCAAACTGTCTAAAATGCGCAGCAGGGCATCACACAAGAACGTGCGCCAAATCACGGGAAACACCCGCAACTTGTTACAACTGTGGAGGGGACCACCCAGCCAACTTCACGAAATGCAAAGCTTACATTGACAGGGTGGCCCGACTCGAGGAAAGAAAACAAAAAACCAACAACAATACCAAGAAAACATACATACCTGCACCCCTACCTACGAAAAATAGGTGGGAAAGCAGGAGGGAGGCCAACAGCAACAGCAATTACAACACAGAGTTCCCTCTCTTGCCGGGCAACAAAGCAGACCTACCATCGTCACAGCAGCAGAGCCAAGAAAACAGAAATCAACCCCCAAGGGCAAATTCACAACCACAAGGCACTCAGGGAGGTACGGGCGACTTCTTTGCCCTAAATCACGAGATGCAAGAATTAAATTCATTAGTGAACATAGCAGAGTTAACAAGAGCGGTAAGGGAGCTTAACTCACAACTTAGGGAATGCCGCAGCGACGCGTCTATTTTCTTAACCTACAACAATTTTATGAACAACCTAAATACGTATAAATTCAGGAATTAAATTCGCTGCGGTATTACGAGACAAATACAAAATCTGTTCTTACAATGTAAACGGGCTGCTAAACAAGAAACATCTTGTATGCAACTTCATTTATAAACATAAATTCGACATAGTAATTCTCATAGAAACTCATTTAAAACCACATCACAAAATAAAAGTGCGCGACTACGACATATACAGACAAGACAGACTAGACCTACCGAAAGGGGGCGTGGCTTTCCTTATTAAACAAAATATCTCATATGAAACCGTATCAAACGTTCTATCGGACATAGAACATGCAATAATAAAAGTAGGGGGTATAACCTTTGTAGGGGTATATAACAAGCCGCTATATAAATTCAATAATATTGACTTGCATAACTTGGCCAGAGGGAATAAAGTAATAATAATAGGGGATTTTAATGCAAAAAACACGGAATGGGATGCAAACTGCAATAAAAACAACGCCAATGGTAATACACTAAGCTTATTCGCTGAAACAAACCGATATACTATACATTATACAGATGTACCAACGTGCTTCCCTTTCTCCGGACAAACACCTAGTACTCTAGACATCGCGATAACGAAAAACATAGACAGCGTACAGAATTTCAGGACCATACCCACATTAAATTCAGACCATGACCCTATCTGCCTAGAAATAGGAACAAGAAGGACTATACAAAAACATAACGGACAGTACTACGATCACAAAACAACAAACTGGACGAAATACAGAGAAATACTGGACAAAGACATAGTAATAAATAACAACATTAATACACCTACTGAACTGGACGTAGAAGTGGACAAATTAACAAACGCCATTATAAAGGCCAGAGACGCCTCCACACGTATAAAACACATTAAAGCACATCAAGAAATACTAACACCGGAAATAGAAGACATGATCACGAACAAAAACAACATTCGGAGAAGATGGCAAAGACACAGACATAGGGACGACAGAATTAGACTTTTAGACATCTCTAAAGCCATCAACACAGCAATACGTGACTTAAAAAACGAAAAATGGACGGACACATTACGAGGCCTCAAACCACAAGACAATTCAGTGTGGAAGATGACAAAACGGCTTAAGAAACCGTTTACGCAGCTTCCCACACTGGAAGACAATAACACACAATACACAACAGACACTCAGAAAGGGGAGGCGTTCGGTACATATTTTGAGAATAATTTCACAAATAATATTGAAAATAACGACGAGCAACAATTTATAGAGGGCGTGGTCAACGATATCAGGCTCCTCCCTTCACAAATCGTGCCGACCAATCAATTGATCAAACCCAGCGACGTAAAAGCTGCAATCGATCGCATTAACAAAAAGAAAGCACCGGGGCCGGATCAAATCACGGGGCTTATGCTTAAAAATCTCACAAGAAAAACAATTGTACAGCTTCACTACATCATTAACGCGATCCTCAAAACTCAGTACTACCCTAATAAACTTAAGATAGCCAACATTATCCCGATCCACAAAAAAGGGAAAAACAATAAGAATATAGAGAGTTACCGCCCCATTTCGCTACTCAACACACTGACAAAAACAATAGACATAATAATACTGAACAAACTACATGTAATAGAACAAGACAAACAAATAATCCCACAGGAACAGTACGGTTTTCGCGAAGGTCATGGGACTATCGCCCAAGTAATCAGAATCGCGCACCAAGCCAAAGAAGCTTTCAACGATAATAAACAAACTGTCCTCGTAGCCTTGGACACGGAAAAGGCATTCGATACCGTCTGGACCTGTGGGCTTATATACAAAATGTTTATAAATGAATTTCCTATTTATATTGTAAAAACGATTCAATCCTACTTACAGGACAGAACGTTTTACATTAAAGTCAACAAAACACTAACAGGACCATACAATGCAATAGCGGGGGTACCCCAGGGTTCGGTACTTTCGCCGCATCTGTACACGATTATGACCCATGACATGCCAATGGGTACTAATGGTGTACAGACGGCACTGTACGCCGACGACACCTGTGTGTACAAAACTTCAGAACTTGCCGAAATCGCAAACAGAAGGCTTGATATACATATCAACAGGACATTGATCCCCTACCTAGAGGCAAACAAGATGCGACTGAATGCTTCAAAAACCGAGAGCATGATCCTTACCAAAAAAAGAGGAAGAACCTCCAAAATAGTAAATAAATTAAAAATCAAGGATCAGGTGATCGAAACGAAGCATACTGTCAAATATCTTGGGGTGCACCTGGATAGGGGATTAATATTCAAACATCATGTCGAGGACCGGGTAACAAAGGCCAAACATGCAATAAGAGCATTATACCCACTAACAAAGCGCAACAGCGGAGTTAGCAGGGATAATAAAATCAGGATATATAAACAAATTATAAGGCCAATCCTCACTTATGGATGTCAGGCCTTCTGTTCGATGACAGAAAGTCATTTAAACAAACTGCAAGTAGTACAAAACAGTTGTCTGAGGCAGGCACTGGGATGGCTCCGCTATTCCAGGATAACAGACATACACAGAGAGACATCCATGCCTACTATAAAATCGTTCATTCTCAATATAACCGAAAGGTTCTATCAAAATAGTCTTCCTGCAAACGTTAAGGAAGACATACTAAACATAAATGCAGGAAATAGTGCACATAGAAAGCATGGGTGCCTCCACAAAGTACTGACAATATACAGACAATTTTGAACATAAAACACACGCAGACAAACGCAGACCTTTTCCCTGTGACAAAATTACTAAATGTGCAAATCCAAGCCGACTAGCCGTAAAATCTGGTCGGACGGTGGACTGCACGGTGAGTCGAAAATCGAAACAGCGAAATTTTTCGCTGCAACGATGGACGATAACATCGTGTAGTTCATGGATTTGCACAGAATAGTCATAAACTATACGGACAACCAGACAAACACAAGGACAACCCTGTTTTTTCTACGCTTTTTCAGGGAAACTAAACATAACTAACAAAAGACAAATCTTCCATGAGTTAAGTTCAATTACCGACGCACACTAAACAATCAAAAATGCCATATAATATTATTAGTAATAAGGAGATGGCACATAAAATCCAAATCATAAACATTCTGCATCTGTGATTACGGGACGAGACGTCGCCCATACTTCTCCTGCTACGCCGGAGGACAGAGGCAACGTTCTTACGACGTCGTACAACAATAAATGTAGATGTAAATATTTTATTTGTAAATAGTGTAAATAAAACTCTCTTCTCTTCTCTCTCTCATCCAATGCAGTGTACCTTGGACTCACCAAGGCTGCTGTTACCCGAACCCACGTTAGATTCGATACGAAGTAACATAACCCTACTTTGTCGCTTTTCACAAGTATAGTTCCTTTTATTATTGTCCGAACAAAATCGCATCGCCAGGTAAAGTTAAAACAGTGTACGGAGTGTAACCCCGTGCATGGGGGAGCACTCGGGGGCATCCAAAAAGTCGAGAAAACCGGCATATATCGCGACGGAAGTTGCGAAAACAGAATGTGAACATTCTAAACATTTATCATATCGAGTGAAAGCCTATAATAAACTTATTCAAGAAAGCCGGGAAAGTTATATCTGCAACCCCAATATCGCGAAACCTCGAAGAAGGATCATCATATCAGGAGCAATAAAATCTGTGAGTACTGAGAGCCTAACAAGTAATCTGGGAGAAAATACCAAAACCCTAGGTGAATCCACGCCAAAATTTTCAAGCCTGAAAAGTATGGAGAAAACCAACATACGGCAAAGCACCAGTCAAACAGCAAACCCCAACATAGACAAACACACCCAAATAAATCAAGCACAACACAGTGCTGCTCGAGAAGAAAATACTCAAGAAAGTATGCAGAAAGCGTCAAGCGCCGAGCAATTACAAGAAATGAAGGAGAATGCTTTCTATTTACTTTCCCGACGAATTGAACAAAACTAAAGTCAGCGAAGACGTTGAAATGACTGACAATACATCCGACTCCAGTCAAAACGGCCGAAACAGTGCCCACACGGACGAAAATATCGATCTAAGCGACCCAAAAGGCCCAAAAACTGACTCCGAGGAAAGTTCGGAGAATAACTATGCCGACCGATACAGCAGCAGCGATCACGAAACAAAGCGGGCCTGTAGATACCAACAAAGTACGGAGAAAGAAGATTGGAAAGTATGGAGAACAACAAACACTGGGAAAGTTTGGAGAATAGAAATGAGGAAAGTATGGAGAATACTAAAAGGCTACAAAGTATGGAGAATACTAAAAATCTACAAAGTTTGGAGAAAAATAAAAATTCCGGCGAGACCCCAGTAAATAAAAGGAGGAACGAAATGGATAACTTCTTTTCCGAATATATTTCGATACCTGCCGCAGAAGGGTTGAAAATCACGATCAAACAAAGCGATATACCGCAGGCCCTAAAACGGAACATTATGGAATTCAATAGCGGCTCGGATAGCTCAGAGCGAACCCCTCTGCTCAAACAGAATGTTGTCGTTCCCATACTGCATCACCCACCCCCACAACCTAAGGAGATGAGCTTACCGGATGGTAGAACACAACCATTACCCAGTAAGCAAGTGGCATACAAACCTAAACCTAAACCGGACCCAATGCCCTAAAAGAACCCTAAATCGAATGAAGAAATCATCAATACCTCACCCAACAGTACCTTCCCACTCCAAAGGGCAAAGAAATCACGTACGAATACAGGGGACCCAGACAGGATCGAAACCTGCCCCCAGACACAACAACCCATGGACACGCATGATGTAAATAATGAGTTTATCTCTCCCCCGAAAATTAGTGGACATCTAAAACGGGTAATGAAGCAAGAAGTTATCGCATCCCTACCTAAACCTGTAGAGACAAACAACAGATTCCAGGTTCTCACCGAGAGTGAAGAGGAAGATGTACAAATAATGGAAGAGAGACTAAAAGCAAGAAAATAGAGGCGAGAGAAGGCTGAAAATCATAAAAAATCGTTGGCAGAGAAGTCAACAGTAAAACCTCCCTTAAAAGACAAAAACGAACCCCCACAAAATAAAAAATCGGCAATGCCACCAATAGTGCTCGATGGAGTTCCCGAAGACCATAAAGGGCTGACAGGAGTACTTAGACAAATAATTAAGGGTAACTTCAACGTGAAATATACGAACAACTCAACTATCGTATTCACAGAAGACAAAAGTGACTACGACAGCATACTTGAAAACGTAAAAACCGTAGAGATGGCGTTCCACACGTACACAAGCACGCATTCTTCCTGCGCGGACTAGGGGATGGAACCAAAATAGAGGATCTAGAAGAAGATTTGATGATCAACTATGAGATCAAAACTAGAGCAATTTACAGAATGACAACACGAAACAGGCCCCTATACCTGGTAGTGACGGACCCGTCTATCACTCTGAAATACCTTAACCGGAATGTCAAAGTGGTATTGTACACCAGAATTACGTGGGAATTGAGACGGTCTACCAAACAAATTATCCAATGCCACAACTGCCAGGCATGGGGGCATGCCACGTCGAATTGTGGACGTCTACCAAATTGTTTAAAATGTGCCGCAGGACACCACACAAAGACCTGCTTAAAGTCCAGAGACACCCCCGCCACATGTGTTAATTGCGGCGGCGACCACCCAGCCAATTTTACGAAATGTAAATCCTATCTAGACAGGGTGGCTAGATTAGACGAAAGAAAACTTACAACAAATAATAAAAACAACAAAAAGAACTATATACCTGCTCCCCTACCAACACACAATAGGTGGGAAAGCAGAAAGGAAGCCACAAACACAACAAAATACAACACAGAGTTCCCTCTCTTGCCGGGCAATCGCGATGTCCCACAGATTAAGCAACAAGAACAAAGAAGGCAACCCAGCAGACCCACACAGCAATCACAGGGAGGTATGGACGACGTATTTGCCCTCAATTATGAAATACAAGAATTGAATTCACTAGTTAACATCGTCGAACTAACCCGCGCGGTAAGGGAACTTAATGCGAAACTAAGGGAATGCCGCAGCTAAGCACAAATTTTCCTAACTTATAATAATTTCATGTCAAACTTAAACTCATTCAGCTTCAGAAATTGAATTCGCTGCGGTTTACCGAGACAAATACAAAATCTGTTTTTACAATGTAAACGGGCTGCTAAACAAGATTCATCTTGTAAGCAACTTCATATATAAACATAAATTTGACATTATAGTACTAACGGAAACACATTTGAAACCAATTCACAAAATAAAAGTGCGTGACTACGACATACACAGGCAGGATAGGCCAGACGAAACCGGAGGGGGCGTGGCTCTCATTATTAAACGAATCATTCAGCATACAGCTGCCACGACCGTGATTTCTAGCATATAACACGCGATAGTAAAAATTGGGGATATCACTCTAATAGGGGTATACAACAAACCTTTAAACCATTTTAATAATATCGATTTATATAACCTTATGGCCGCGGGGGAAAAAGTAATTGCAGTAGGGGATTGAAACGCCAAAAATAAAGAGTGGGACGCAAATTGCACTAAAAACAACAAAAACGGTAATACCCTCAGTGACTTTGCTGATTCCCATGAATGTATGATCCATTACACAGATGAACCAACGTTCTACCCCTTTAGTGGACAAACACCAAGTACCATAGACATTGCTTTGACAAAAAACATTGACAGCATTCACAACTTAACAACAATAACAATACTAAACTCGGACCACGACCCAGTTTACTTAGAAATCAGGACGCAAAAGAACATACAGAGACAAGACGGACAATACTACGACCACAAAACAACAAACTGGGTAAAATACAGGGAAATTTTAGACAAAAATATAGTAATTAACAACAACATCACGACTACAGCTGAACTTGACAATGAAGTAGACAAACTAACAAAAATCATAATAAAAGCAAGGGACACTACAACAAAAATCAAACAAGTAAAACTACACCATGAAAACATTACTCCCGAAATACAGGACATGATCAACAGAAAAAATTACATACGCAGACGTTGGCAACAGAACAGACAAAGTGACGATAGAATTAGACTCTTTGACATATCCAAAACAATCAACGCTGCATTACGGGACTTAAAAAACAAAAAATGGACTGACATACTACGAGAATTAAAACCACAAGACAACTCAGTGTGGAAAGTTGCAAAGCGGTATAAGAAGCCGGTTGTGCAACTTCCCACACTCGAGGACAATAACGCATAATACATAACGGACACACAAAAAGGGGTAGCGTTTGGAACGTATTTCGAAAATAACTTTAAAAATAATAATGCAAACAACCCAGAGCAACAAAATATAGAGGACATAGTAGAGGACATTAAGCTCCTCCCCAGACCAAACGTGCCGGCAAATCAGAGGGTTACGCCGAACGAGGTAAAAGCGGTAATCAACAAATTGAAAAATAGGAAGGCACCGGGTCCAGACGGGATATCTGGACTCATGCTTAAAAATATTTCTAAAAAAGCGGTCGTACAACTGCACCACGTCATAAATGCAATATTTAAATTGCAGCACTACCCAAAAAAACTGAAGGCTGCAAATATTATTCCGATCAAAAAGCCCGGGAAAGCCGCGAAAAATATTGAGAGCTACCGTCCCATATCCCTTCTTAACTCACTGACGAAAACAATAGACATGATAATATTAAACAAACTACGCGTAATTGAAAACGACAAACAAATAATTCCACAGGAACAGTACGGTTTCCGCGAAGGACACGGTACGGTTGCGCAAGTGATCAGAATTGCCCATCAAGCAAAAGAAGCTTTTAATAATCAAAAAGTAACCGTACTGGTCGCCTTAGATACAGAGAAGGCCTTTGATACCGTCTGGACCTGTGGACTTATCTACAAAATGTTTATAAATGAATTTCCTGTTTATATTGTAAAAACGATTCAATCATACCTACAGGACAGAACATTTAACATTAAAATCAACGATACAATCACAGGACCATTTAATGCAATAGCGGGGGTACCTCAGGGTTCGGTACTTTCGCCGCATCTGTACACGATTATGACCCATGATATGCCCATGGGTACTAATGGTGTACAGACGGCACTGTACGCCGACGATACCTGTGTGTACAAAACTTCGGAGCTGGCTGAAGTCGCGAACAGGAGGCTTGACATACACATCAACAGAACGTTAATTCCTTATCTGGACGCCAACAAGATGAGATTGAATGCTGCGAAATCCGAGAG